CAGGTGGATCTCTGTAAATTCCAGACTAGCCTGGTCTACAAGAGCTAGTTCCAGGACACCCTCCAAATCCATAGAGAAACCCTGCCTTAAAACTCCCCCAACCCCAAAAATAAAAAAATAACAAAAAGAGAAAAAAAGCAAAAAATGTGCAGCAAGCATGACATTCACCCCCAGGAAAACAAAACACTACAATTGAATCAGTTCAATGTGAGTGTCAGTGAGAAGGCCTGGGCAACCTATGGGGCCTTGAGCAGTGGATCAGTGTCTATCCCTGGAATACAAACAGTCATCGTGTGCCCATAGCACAAAGAGGGATGCTCTCTCAGCCTGGACTCTTTGGGGAATGCCTAGACCCTACCCGGAGTGAAATGACAGACTCTAGATATCAGCTATGTGGAAGGAATTGGCAATAGGGTGGGAGGCTGGGTGGGAAGGGGAGTGCGGGAGGAGAGGAGGGAGAGAGAACTGGGATTGACATGTAAAACAAGCTATTTAAAATTAAAATAAAAAATGATATAAAAATAATATTACTTTCAAATTAATTACAACTCTGAATAATTATAATTAAGACATAAATATTTTTATTTTCTTATCTACTAATATTAATGGGAAATGATAGCAGTGAAGTGTGACATTAATCATTGTGAATATCAGAGAACTAAAGAAAAATATCTATCACAGAACTTCTGCCCCTCTGACCTAACTGAAATAAGCCAAAGGGTCACTTGAAGTTCAGTCAGGCTTGTAACAGCAGAACTCAAGATACTTGTGATGGTTATTCTTGGTTGTGAACTTGACTGTCTCTGGAATGAATTACTATTCAGAAATGGAGGGCACACATGAGATCCAGATTTTGAGACTGAACGACACTGACTGTTTGTTTGTTTGATTTTGTTTTTGGAGATAGGGTTTTTCTGTTTAACAGCCCTTGCTGTGCTGGAACTCACTCTGTAGAGTAGGATGCCCTTGAATTTACAGAAATCTGCCGGCCTCTTCCTGGATTAAAGGTGTGTGCCTCCACCCAACAAGAAACTGTCTTTTGATCCAGATTTTGAGGTGAAAAAACACATCCCTTTAACTCAGATCTGGGCCACACCTTTTGTTGCAAGCCTATAAAAGGACAGTGAAAGAAAATACATTCATTCTTTGCCTGCTTGCCCTCTGCTTGTCAGCATATGCATTCCTTGGCTGGTATTGGAGCCAGTGATTCCAGCATATACAGAAGACCAGCTAAGAAAAACCGCCTTGTGGGATTGAGTGAATAACTACAGGGTTCTTGAACTTCCATTCACAGGTAGCCATTGTGGAACCATAACCTGTAAGTCTTTGCAGTGTATTCATATATATATGTATATATATATATTCATATGTATTAATTCTATAAAATTTGTGACTCTAGAGAACACTAATGTGGTGTTTTAGGATTCTTCAAAGCCTCTGAGTAGGCAGACTGCCTGCTGTTGGTGATAGTCCTTCTATCAAGGCAACTCTGCTACAGGAATGGTTGAAGGACTGTTAATTCTTAACATTATCGAAAGCAGTCATTTAGTTCTTAGTAGTATTTAACTCAGAATACAGTACTCCTATCCCATGGCCCCTAACGAGAGGTGTGATTCCCCTCTAAGGTCTCCCAGGTGAAGGTTTTGTTTATGGGTTATCATTAGTGTAAATGAGGCAGAAGTAGAGAAAAGACAAACTCAAGAGTGAAGGAAGACACTCCAGTGTGAAAGACTAGAAAAGGAAACATGAACCCCTGATCATTGGAACGACTGTTCTCACTGCATGTGAAATGTTTCCTATTGCTTATGTAAACTACGCTGTATGGATCTGTGTCTGTTGCACACACTAAATTTTTCAATCCATTTTCTTGTTGTTGAGTGTTTTTATTTAAATTCTAGTTCACATGTAGTATGATTCTAGTTTCCAAGACCAAAGTACAATAGAATGTGTACACTGTTGATGAGGATGTTTGGTTGTGTACAGTGGAATATAGTAGTTGTTGTTTTATTGTTGCTTTGAGACAGGATTTCATTATGTAGCCGAGGGGAAACTAGAGTTTGCAACCCCCCTGTCATGCCCTCCTGGGTAATGAGGTAACCATGCATACATTTGATTTATATTGTCTATATAGCTTTTATAAATATTACTGACACATTCTTAGGTTAGATGGCCTAACTTGTAATCCCACGAGCCTTTTTGAATGATCTTCCCAACACCTACGATTGATGTTTCCAATTTACCTACATTATCTGGGTATCATAGTCAAAACAAAGAAACAAAAAATAAAAACCAAAAAAAACAAGTGGGATAAAAGTTAGAATGAAAATTTTCTAAGATGTAGCACTAGATGTTGATTTTAAAAATATTTCTGTTAGGGGTATATAAAGGATTAGTGCCTTAATTGTTAGCGAAAGAACATAGATCTACGGGTTAATTATAACAAATTTATGTTGAAAAAAGAATACAGATATTAATTTTAGCCAGACTGTAGTGGTGCACACCGTTAATTCCAGCACTCAGGAGACAGAAGCAGTTGTATCATTATGTTGAGGTCAGCCTGATCTACTGAGTGAGTTCTAGGACAACCAGGGCTAAAAGAAAATATGTATATAATTCTAAATTGGAGTAAAGGAAAATAAACCAATGGCCTCAGAAGGGATGTGATATTAGCATGAATTATCAGAAATAACATGAAATTTCTATTTACAATAGAACAATTTCTGTTTCAATACCTATGTATTGTATTAAAACATCTATTGGTGTTATTTCTGTAAAACACATAGTTTATGTGTTGGATATTTATTGATAAAGTATTTTACTGCTTTTTGGAGGGGGCATTTTCGAGGCAGGGGTTCTCTTGGCTTTGGAGGCTGTCCTGGAACTAGCTTGTGTAGACCATGCTGGTCTTCCAACTCACAGAAATTTGCCTGCCTCTGCCTCCCTACTGCTGGCATTAAAGGCATGCACCACCAATGCCTGGCTCAACATTTTAATTTTTAATTTTACATTTTTTATTGAGGAAGGGTTTCAATTTTAACTTTGGAAGTCAAAGTATTTACTCTGTAGATTAAGCTATCCTCAATTAAGAAATCTGCCCGATTTTGCCTACCCATTAATGGGAATAAAGAATTGTACCTCCTGGCCCAACCCTGATGAATGAGTAAATAATCTCTAATGAGTAATAATCCCATACTAAAGTTGTTGGGCTTGGTGTGGCCAAGCACACATTTAATCCCAGTACAGGGACGGCTGAGACGGAAACATCTCTTTCAGTTCCAGACCAGCTTGATTTCCATAGTGAGAACCTGCCAAAAAATGTGTAAAGCTGGCATTGGTGCTGCACACCTCAATCCCAGCACTCAGGAGGCAGAGTGAGTTCAAGTATATCATACAAACCAATACAGAGAAACACTGTATGAAAAACGAAAAAAAAACTGTGAACACTTATACATATAGGAACGTCTATTTCAATTTTTATAGAAAGTATTTGCAAATATTCAACTATTGAGAAAAGTGGATATATTTAAAATGCTGCTTTGAAATGGTTGGTGAGATAATGTGTATGCTAGTTAATGGTGTCTTCATACACAGATCAGAACATACAATTGTTCCTTATAAACAGCCTTTTATTGTTATGTTTTCGACACAAGATTTCTCTTTGAAATAGTCTCATTTCTCATGGAAATGGGTTTGTATACAGGCTGCACACCAACTCATAGAGCTCAAGTTGCCTATACCTCTCAAGTGCTGGGATCTAAGTCATGTGCCACCTCCAGTTTATAAGGAATTTTTCCCCAAGGCAAGGTTTCTCTGTGGCTTTGGAGGCTGTCCTGGAAGCAGCACTTGTAGATAAAGCTGGCCTCAAATTCACAAAGATCTCCCTGCCTCAGCATATGGAGTGCTGGGATTAAAGGCATGTACCACCAACACCTGACATTTATAAGGTTTTTGTAATGTAATCTTTGAGTTTCAATATAATGAAACACTATTGTCACCTCATGTATATAAACAGGGTCAATTTTTGCTCTTAAATAAACACTTAAGGATCAAATTCCATGGATATGAAACAGGAACTCCCACAGATTGTTAATTGATCACTTTATGCACAACCGTATAATCTACTACCCAGTTTATTTGTGGTTGGATTATCCACCAACTGATTTATTCCCTAGCAATTTTGCCATTGTTTGGTTTATCTATAGGTTGGATTGTCTGGTAATTTGGTTATGCATCTCTCTTCCTATACAAAAGGAACATTAGAAGACAAAGACACTGCCATTTCTAGCAACCCAGGACTTGTCTGCATCTCTGTAGTGAAGCATTTAGGACAAGCTCTGCAACCATGCAAGGATCTTCAGGAAACTCATTAACAAACCAGCCTTTGATAGTGAGTACTTGATTCATACTAATGGTTTATTGTTCTTCCTTGTCCTTTTTCTTTACATTTAACTCTCCTTAATTTAATGCACAGTTGTACTTGACACAAACTCATGTCCCATGGAAAGCTGCAAAGTACTTGTTAAAATTTTTTGCAAGAAATTTAAAATGTAATTCATCAGCCCATGTCAAGGCATTATACTGTGAAATGCATTCATGGATGATTTTTGTCCTAGCATGAGTGTTCTTGTGTGAATTTAGATGGTGTATTTCTGTACTAGTAATGACTGCATGTCACTGGGGGTAGGTTTGGAACATAAGTATGCAGTGACTATAAGAAAGACAAGTTTAGAGTACCATTCTTAATGGGAGAAGGAGGGAATCTGTGTGTATCTGGTTTAATAGAGACCTCTGGATTCATATCCTTGATAGCCATTTGAGCTAGATGTCTCAGAAGCCTGCTAACTGGATCCTTTCTTGAAGCAACATTGGGGATCTAGCCAAAATTCAAATTCTGGGCCCTACTCTAGAGGTTTTTGATTTTAGAAGCATTCACAGATGACTTTAGTTGAATCACTGATTCGAGATCAGTTTCTTCAGAGAAAAGGGATGGTAGAAGAACCATGAACAGAGAAAATTCAGCATGGCTAGTAGTAGATTACATCCTGTGTGTTGTTTACATTAAGTTTGTTTTCAAAGGGAAGGCTCAAAGAAGTATGATACCCCAGGAATTACTAAACAAGAGGGCCCGGATTACAGAGAAGAAGGTCAAGGCCAAACGCCGACTTCGGGCAACTCCTGTGACTCCTGTGAGGATGACCAGTTGCATCTTCCCAAGGCCTGTGACTAGAATAAATTCCCATCCTGAGAATATCACCTTACCTCGGAATAAGTCTGAAGAGTATCTGGAGAAACCCCGGCAGGTCTGTGCATTCAAGAGACTGCTGGGACATCTAGTTGAAGACAGTAAACGGGAGCTTGTATGCCCATTGGATCTTACAAACACTGTAAGAGGAACTGAATTGGGATCGCAGGCTGAAGCCAAAGGTCAAAGCGGCGTTAATAATCTGCACACCTCCCCACTCTTTCCCTCTGTTCCACCCTCCTCTTCCTTCAGTCAAGGGGCTACAATGCCAGTCGCCCTAACGTTGTTGCCATCTTTGTGCAGTGCAAGAGGTAACTAGTACAGACGTTCGACGACAAGCACAGAAGGTTAACAGAGCCAGGAAAAGACTGGCACAGGCCTTGGAGGCAGACATGCTTGCCAGGCAGGCAGAGAACATGGCAGAATGGAGTGTACATGCTTATTCTGAAACTAAGTGAAAACAAGTCTAAACAACCACGAACAGGAAAACATGAGTGTGCTGGACTCTACAAGTTCTCCATGAAGAAACTTTGTTTACTTTTATGTCTCTTTTGCTTTTCAAGATAAGGATTCTCTGGCTGTTTTGGAGTCTGTCCTGGAACTCCTGGAGGCCAAGGTCACCTTGAAATCACAGAGATCCTCCTGCCTCTGCCTCACAAATGCTGGGAATAAAAGCTAATGCTTTTTTTGAAAAGCAAAATTATAACCAGTAATGCTTTACATAATAAAGTTTTTGGTTTTGATAGAAATTTTCTAAAATAAATTTCATGTGAAAGTATCCTCTAGGTCAACTATGGTCCACAGTAGGACTCTGGAATAGATCCTCCATCAACCTACAGAGCAAAGGGAATTCCTTGATATAACATTTAGATGAGAAGTGTCTCTGTCTTTGAGCAGTTCGTTCAGTGAAGCTCCTGGGTAGATAACAAAGCCTTAACTCAGGATAGGCAGGCCTGGCCAGCTTGAAGCTAATCCTTTGTCCCTCCCTACCATGGGCCTGCAGCTTACTAGGTTTTTAGTTCCTTACTGACACTACTAGACAGCATATAAGACTGGAATTCTGGTTGCCATCACCCTGGAAATAGAGAAGCTGCAGCTGATATGGCTAATCCCCTTTCTAGAACTATGTCTATGACCTAACAAATAGATAGTTTTATAATATCAGGCTTAATGGGAGAAGTAATTTCAGCTTACCGTATTTTTTTCAAAATTTGGTGACTATTGGACTATTAAGTATTCCCTAAATTTGATCCTCCTGTCTCAGCCTGATGAATGTTAGGACTACAGGAAAGCTTGCCATACCAAACTACAATTATTGTTATCTACTTTTCAGCCTACAGGAATAATTTTGTCTGGGAGGCTATTTAGTGTTTTATATTAAGTGCTTAACGTAATACTTGTTAATGGAAAGCTGCTCTATGTGTGTTTTATATACCACTGTCTTGGACTTATTTTGATTGTTTTAGTTAAAATCTCTGTTGTAATCATAAACTATCAATAAAGATTTCCATTTAAATAAAAGTTCAGAGATTATTTTCTGCACTGGTAATTTGATGCTGTAAAGATATTTTAGATGTGGTTGTATCTTTCATTTATATTTCCCTTTATACTGGGTTTCTATTATGATCTGAACTTTCTGTCTAATATAGTTAATTTAAATTAAATACATTTTTAATAAATAAAGTAACACAAGGTAATTTACATGTGAGGATATGATGCTGCTGGGCATGGAAGCACACATCTTTGATTCCATCAGAGATAAACTTTTATTTTAGAGACAGGATTTCTTCATATAGTTCTGGAACTCAGTCTGTTCCAAGTGTCTTCGGGAATAAGAGTAAGATCTGCCTTACTCTTATTCGCTTATGCTTGTATAAAAGGCACGTGCCCCAACTTTTGGCCTGAAGACATTATCTTGATAATCACTCCTACTGTTACCCTGATTCCTAATCATCACTAGGTGAACTGTTGGGACCCATAAAGATGGCTCTAATACATCTTTACTATAAGTCAGAATGCTCAAAACTGCCTTCATTATAAGACCAAACATGGCAGCTACAGGAAGTTTTAGCCTTGGTAGAGGCTAAATGCACTATTCTTAATCTGAATAACAATAGAGTTGGGCTCAGGCTTGTTTCCATTGACCCTGAAGGATGGATTGCAGGTTTGATTACAAAATACCTTCTGTAGGGTTAAGCAACAGATTCCATCCTGGCCCAGTGGGCTGCTAGTCAAGTTTGAGGTTTGTGTACCTTTTCTTCAAAAGAATTCTCTCTGAGACACTTTTGTTTTGCTGCTGCTATGTCTTCTGTGTGCAATAGATTATTCATCTTACCAGGAAGGATCTCTGAAGGCTTGTTCTTTAATTTTCCTTTATTTTAACAAAAGTATTTTTAGAGTGTGTGAAGTATGTGTATAGGTGTATGTGTGCCAAGGTGGACAGGTAAAGGTCAGAGGAAGAGTGTGGGTAGGCAGTTTTTTTTGTGGTGGGTTCTGTGGCTCAAACTGGTCATCAGGACTGCAAAGGAAGGGCTCTTACCTACTAAGACAACTTTCTAAACCTGACCAGTTCTCCCAATATTTCATAACCCCTGGTAGTGAATAATTTAACCACTTAAATCACAAGCAACCCAAATGTCTATTGAGTTTGCTTAGGTGAGAATGGCCTTTTCTTTTATTTCATTAGATTACATAGCCACCACTCCAGGAAGAACAATTAGATACTTTAACTCAATCTGTCCATTTCCCACTTGAAGTGCTGATCTCATATCTACCATAGTCTCATATGCTAAGATTCCAGGGGACTCTTTCATGTCATGTTTAATTCTTCTCTAATTCAACCAGTTCAGATGCAATTTTCTGTACCAGACAACTAAGACACCCTTCTACATGCCAATAAAGATTTTCTTCTATATTAAGGGTCAGACTTGAATGTTATCTTCTGTGATTTCTAGTTTGCTTTTCCCTTGCTGTTAAATTCTTCCCATGTGTTCCAACTTCTCTGATCTCAGTGAGGCTTCTTTGTCACAGGTCTAGTTATTAGTTGTCTTTCCCTTGCACCCTGTCATCTGTAACCGCAAGCCACTCCTGTATTTCATCCCTTCTGTTTCAACAATCTCCTGCTATGCAAGAGTACTAGTGATCAGAAGAACAGGATCATTACTTGGACAAGTTCAGTATGAGCAGTCAGTGGAATCTGTTGTCTTTCACCACTCCCACAAAGGGGCAAATTGCCATTAGGTGTTTAACATCTTGTCCCAATTGCCACTTTTTGGAATGGTTGTATGTTCTCTAGTCCAGTGGCATTTTTACTAGTATGTGCTTACTCTAGTTGCAAAATCCAGTAATGTGTGCCATCCCACCCCATGCAGAGTAAGACTGTCCTAATTTAACTGTCAACTTTACAATCTCAACAGTCATCAGACATGAGAGCCTCAACTGAGGACTTGCATAAATCATGCTGTCTCTTGGGAAATGTTTCAATTGGTGGAGAAGGGCCTAGGGTAATTTGAAAGGCAGGTAGGCTTTAGTTATATAAGCTAGTTTAGCATGATGCCATAATCAAGGCAGATAGTGATATCATTTCTCTAAAGTTTCAGCCTAGATTTCTTACCCTAACTTCCCTCAATAATAGGCTGAAAGATAAAATACATCATGTCCTCCTTTAAGAAACTTGACTTCTCAGCCTAGATACATGGGCTGAGTGCTTAGGTCCTGCCCCTAAAGCCTTGACAGATTTTGGTGATCCCTAATGGAAAGCCTCACCCTCCCTGGGGAGTGGATTTGGGATTGGATGTGGGGATCAAAGGGTGTTATGGGAGGATGGGATTGAAAAGGAACTGGGATTGATATGTAAAATAAGATTGTTTCTAATTTAAATAAAATTTATTAAAAAATGAGCAAATCAAAAAAATCCACCACCCCCCCCACCCCAAAATAAGCTTTTTGTTTTATCACAGCAGCAGTTCAGTCACTTTGGACTTTTTCCAAAAGATACTCTACTTTCAGATGGCTCAGTCCTGGTTGCATGTCTTAGCATCCGTATCAGACACCATGGAACCACCACTAAAGCAAAGAAGACATGCTGTCTCCTACCATATTGGGAAGGTCTGTATCAGGACTGCCCCAAATGATACTCCATCCTCACAAGGATCAGCTTTGGGAGTACATCTTAAATCCCATACAGAGTTCATGCTGCAATAATCTTCCCACAGAGATCGTTGGTTTTTTTTCTGTTCCTGTATGGGTGCCCTGTTTGTGGTATGTAACCAAATGTTTAGAGCCAGATCAAGGGCACTATGCCTTCAAACCCGGCTGGGCAAACAAGTGAATTATTGAAGATTAATTATAGAAGTATGGATGACACAGAGGCAGCTATATTATGAAAATCCCTATCACAAATTGGGAGATAACAAAATAAGCTATATGCTTGGGGCTTCCTTCCCAATTTATTGGTGGTTCCATACATTACATACAAGCATTCTCTTCAGCAGAAATTATTTATTCTTCATAACCTGGGGGATGGCCCTTGAACACTTTGCATCCTAAAGTTTTGGAAAGTTTTCCTGTTTCATTAGTTTCTTCTTGCAATGTCATTTAGGGCATGTATGTTTACTCCAGGAGAGAACATTTCAATTCAGCAAATACCTATACAACAATTCCCAGAACATACTCAATACACATACTAGTATTAGGCTAATAGACTGTCTTATGTTCAAATCAGTACTATACTATTAGTCAGAGAACTCAGGCAAGTGATTGGTGTGTGCCATATTAATTTTTCATAGTTAAACTGGAAATAATAACAACACTTCAGTGCTTATTCAGCATAGTCAATAGTTACTCATAAGGTATTCCTGCTTGTCTATAACCTTTTACCATTTATTATCAAGGCATTACAGTACTGTTATGAAAAAATGTGTTCTCTGTATAAAAAGGAACACTTCTCACAAAAAGACAACCAATCTTGTATTCACCGTTACAGAACTCCAAAACAGATAGAAAAAAATGCCAAAATTATAAGAAGGTTAATTCATAATCACACTGGAAGACTACTATGGCTCTACCACAAATCACTTTAAAAGAAATCAATTTGTACACAACATTATAACAGAATGTGTTAATGTGCACACACCCTATATCAACATGTAAGAATATATATTACTGTCAAAGATCTATGGATATTATTCGATGAATAGATTTATCAGTTAGGTACTGCTTTAAGCTGCAACTTTGCATCACCTCAAAAACATCCAGCAAATCATTTTGGCTTCAACCACTAATGGGTTACTTTATATCAAAGCATGAATAAAAAACAGA